ACGAGTTTTTCGCCGATAGAGGAATAGCTCTCGATTCTTTGATAGGCATATGTTGCGATGGTGAACCAGCAAATACAGGCGTAAAAAATGGGATTTTACGTCGATTTGAAATTCAGTTAAATAGGCCTCTTCATTGGTTTGTGTGTCTTCTCCACTTTAACGAACTTCCACTTCGGCATTTATTTAACTATTTGGAAAAATCATTGACCACTGGACCACGAACAAAAACCGGAATATTAAGCAAACAAATTGAAACATGCGAAAATATACCGGTGAGTTATAACATATTTACTATTTGTTAATACTTTATGTTCAAATTCAATATAATTTATTTTTTCTTATTTACTTCCAGCCGGTAACAGACTTTGAAACGATCCCACTTGAAAATTTGGCTGATTTAAGTCCTGTTGAATCGACAACTGACTCAAGTTATTTAATAAAAATAGCTAAAGCAGTTGCTTCTGGAGAAGTATCGACAGACTTAGCTAACAAGAAACCGGGGCCAATAGCACATTCCCGATGGCTCACAAAGGCTAGTAGGTTACTTCGGTTATATGTAACTACTAATAAGCCATCCAAAAATTTGAAAATTCTGGCAAACTACGTAATGAAAGTATATATTCCAATGTACTTTAACATTAAATATTACAACTCTGTGGTGTACGGTAGTATATTATTTTATAAATTTATTAGCTGGACGCAATATTTAGACTCGAATTTAAGACAAATTGTGAACAATGTTGCTAAAGAAAACGCGTACTATGCTCACTCGGAAAATATTTTATTAGCAATGTTGTTCGATAATAAAAAGGAAATACGAGATTCAGCTATAAGAAAAATCTTATATTACCGTAATAATGTGGAAGACCTGACAAAACACCCGAAATAAATTTCGAATGCACCGACTATACTAATATGATAGATATGGACGATTATTCAAATATATTCGAACCAGCCTTCACGCTAAATATACCTCATGAACATCTAGTACAATATCTACAAAGCAATGAGTGCCCATGGAGTGACCCTAAAATTCCCGTCTACATTCAGGGAACTGAGAGACATGTTCAATTACTGGCTAACGTATCAAAACGCGTATTAGAGCGAAATCGCGATGGAGTTATGACTGCAACACTACAATCTCGTAAAAAGCATCCTCGACTGGAAAGCAAGCAAGATTTCAGATATTAGTTTTTTGTAATTGTATTAGCTAAATGTAAGAAATTTTATTTTAAATAAAAATATAACTTAAAGAAATAAAAATGTGTTATTTAAACCATGACATGTAAATAAATAATATAATAAATATATGTTATTCCTAAAAACCCAAAAACAACATTTTTCTACAAAAGAAGTTTGACCTGTTTCGATGCAAGATTCTAGGTTACGCTTTCTCGCTAATGTCCGCTAAAAGTTTTCACTAGTTTTCATCGATTTTCTCCGAAACGGTAGAAGATACGAAAAAACTTTGTTCGTACGAAAGATGCAGAATAAAATTACGAATAAAATGATATATAAATGGTTAAGTGTGTTCATATAATTTTTTCGAGATTTTCTAATATTTCTTTGCTAAGAACAAAATTTCAAGTCAGTTATCCCTGTGGCAACTTTTCGGACACATCGCGCTTCAAGTCAGTTATCCCTGTGGCAACTTTTCGGATGTTTTGCGAAATAATATGTATAAATACTGAATATTTTGTTATAAAAGATTTGAAATATTTGTAGATTGAAAGTTATTACTGATTTAGAGTATGATACAAAATTAAATAGAAATAGCAACTTGCACGTATTTTGTACATTGACAACTTACACGTATTTTACATAATTGTCAACTTGCACGTATTTTACATAATTGTCAACTTGCACGTATTCAAAAAGCCGAGAAATGTTTTTAACCTGTTTCGATGCATAATTCTAGGTTACGCTTCTTCGCTAATGTGCCCTAAAAGTTTACTTGATGTGGTTCGCGGTACCCGAGAAATGTTTTTAACCCGTTTTGATGCAAGATTCTAGGTTACGCTTCTTCGCTAATGTGCCCTAAAAGTTCACTTGATGTAGTCCGCGGTACCCGAAAAATGTTTTTAACCTGTTTCGATGCAAGATTCTAGGTTACGCTTCTTTGCTAATGTCGCCTAAAAGTTCACTTGATGTAGACCGCGGTACCCGAGAAATGTTTTAACCGGTTTCGATGCAAGATTCTAGGTTACGCTTCTTCGCTAATGTCGCCTAAAAGTTTACTTGATGTAGTTCGCGGTACCCGTAAGTTACTGATATGAAAAAGCCGAGAAATGTTTTTAACCTGTTTTGTAGCAAAATTTTAGGTCAAGCTGAGTTACTATTTATTATAGATTTAGAGTATATTACAAAAATTAAATAAAAATGGCAACTTGCACGTATTTTGCACATTAACAACTTGCACGTATTTAACACATTGACAACTTGCACGCATTTTCCATTATTGATAACTTATACGTACTTTGCTTATCAGCAACTTGTACGCATTTCATTTAATTGGTAACTTGTACGCATTTCCAAGAACTTGAAAAAACATTCTCCCTTATATAGAATTAAATAAAAGATATCATATATTCATAATAAGAAATACGAAAAGTTTCTCTTAAAAACAAATACTCTTTGTTAACTCTCACAAATTTTATAACTATTTATATAGCCTTATAGTTATTTAAAGAAATAATGAATATTTCTAGTATCGGAATATGCCGATAAGTTTTGCCTAACGTGCTGACTTAGGCACGTTGTATAAAATAGCTAAGTAGATACCAAAGAAGTATCACATGTACAATATGTACAACTTTCTGAGGGTCAAGTCATACTGATTGTGGCATACTGCAATGCGACGGCTTAAGGCTTATGCTCTAAGAGCGTGGGGTGACGCCAAGCCAACATGACGAATCCCCAAGCCAAAGGCTGTGTTCCAGCAGATCGCAGCGTGGTAACTGCTCTACCAAATACAACAACCCGCCTGGTACCTTAAAGTCGTCTATAAACGATTCCGAGTCTCTACATCGAACTAGTGAACCATGATCGACCGCTATAAAACGGCTAAAATGGCTCGTGCGATAAACGGCGTGCGCCGAATACCTAATAAATCACATTGTATTGAGTCTTTCGACTCACGAGACTCCTCAAAATATCGTTGTTATCTAGAAAGGATATGGCCTTAGAGTCGTTCAGGCATACCCACGGATGGTAGCTTTGCACCACGTCCGAGCCTGCGGTTCCTCTCGTACTAAGCAGAAATTCTATCGCAACGACTATTCATCAGTAGGGTAAAACTAACCTGTCTCACGACGGTCTAAACCAGGCAACTTTTATAAATTCTGCGCTTACACAGAGGCTAGACCTTTAACAACCGTCGAAACGGCGGTCCGTATATAACATTAGCGGTCTGCGACCCAGTTTATTTAGTCTCTTTACCCTTCGTTAGATTGAAACTTCGGGGCAAATTCATCGTCATAACTCACTTTTATTCTCGCTCGGAGAGTATTGAGTTGATTGCATTTGTGTATTTTATTTTCCGCATAAGAGTCTTTGCGTCAACGACACATGCCCGCGCATATGCTGTACAGTATGGTTGAACACTTATAAATAAGGTCCAGAACCCGGCCGTAAACCGACATCCGAACATATACGACGTATATAATTCCAAACACGGTCTACGACATTATTAAAAGTAACGCCGCTATATAGTTGACAGGCTAAAAGTATCGAATATAATGTATAAAATACACCGGGAAATAATATTCAAACCTGCCTGAACAACACAGCGAACTTTTGCCAAAAGTTGATCGCATCGCATACGACGCGATCTATCCCCCTATAGAAGGCGCGCGGCCACACCGTAAGTATTAAGACGAGTCCCAAGCGATGTGCATTTGACCTGCGGCGAAGCGTCGCTCCGGGTTACGGTGTGAATCGTCAAGACAAAAGTCTGGGACATTTTCGAACTGCGAACCCTTATGATAGACAAATTTTTTTCGAATTTTTTTTTAGATGTTCAAACAGTTTTATATATATGGACAATACGAATTATAGTGAATTATTGAGTTTTTAGGTGTTTTTTTGTTTTTTTTTTAAACTTTTGTATTGAAATATGTATTTATTGATTTTTATAGATCTCAATGAATATAAAACAAATTTATTTGTAGTTATATTATTTTTTCTTCTTTTTATAAAAAAAATCCGATTTTTTAATGCAAGTTTTCACTAGTTTTCATCGATTTTCTCCGAAACGGTAAAAGATACGAAAAAACTTTGTTCGTACGAAAGATGCAGAATAAAATTACGAATAAAATGATATATAAATGGTTAAGTGTGTTCATATAATTTTTTCGAAATTTTTCAATTTTTTCTTTAAATTAAAAAATGTTTTAAATTTTTCGCTGGCTTTAAGTTCATTTGCAAGTTATGCTTTTTTTACAATATTGTTTCAAATGGTGTAAAAAGTTAAATTAGCGAGGTGCCTCAATATGCAAAAAATTGGCCCACTCTAATATATATATATATATATATGTATGTATAATATACATATACATATATATATATATATATATATATATATATATATAATCATTATTCGCGTAATTAGCTATCCCGTATATACGGAATAGGTATATACGAAATGCCCGTAAACCTAATAAAGACCATAATCTCTATCGTCAAATACATTTTATATAAATGATTAAAACAAATTTTAATTAATAATTAATTACAAAGGGACGGCCCAATTTATTTTAATTGAAAAAATACATGTAATTTCATAAAGCTTCTATATTTATATATTTTAAATAATCAGAAATTATAATAGTTAATGACATTTTGTTTTTGCTTCTTATATACAATTTTATACATTTAATTTTTATACATATATTTTATATTTAATTGCACAGATCATTTGTGTATTTATTATATTAATTGACTACTTTATGATTATTTGAATCCTAATTAGTCTTTTCAAGATTGTTTTCCTGGTTTAAGCCTTAGTTAGTGATCTCACTTTTGCATTCTTCGCCGGTTGGCGTAGGTATGCATCGCAACTCTGTTTTATCAAAGTGCAAGCCTTTTGGACAATCATAATGTTTTATTTGCCATTTGTTGTTAACCAAGAAACATTGATAATATTTTTTACAATCCCTTCGATCGGAAAAGACGTTTTCACTTTTGCACGCAATTCTGAAAATAATACATAATATATAATATCAATATGTAAATTAATCCATAATGTATATGTAATATTTGTTGCAGTTTATAAATTTTATGTGGATAATTATTTTAAATTTGTTATAATTTTGGATAAATTAAGTTTTTACTTATTATTAATTCAAGTACACTTTGACTTACCATTTTTTTAAAATATAAATATTTTGGACAAAAGAAGATTTATTTCGTGATTTTCTAATATTATATTCATATTTCTAACATGAAATCATGTTTTTATGTAAATGGATATAATAAAGTCAAAACATTTACTAATTGTCCTAAGTGTGACAGATTGTAATTAAAATGTACAAAAAAGAGTTTTTATGTAAAATTAGCCTTTTTCGACAAAGAAATCTACTGGGTTACTTTTTAATAAAAGAAATTATCTAATTGATAGGTCAACTGGTTTGTCTTATAAAAAGCCAAGTCGTCGAGAAGAAATATCATCACATCTTACAGATATTATCGTTCTGAATGTTGTTAAAAAAAAGTAGATAAAAGTGGCAAGTTGTATGAACTTTTCGATACATGTAATTCAATCCTTTTCATTAAGAAGAATGGGGATTCGAATTTTTTTTTTTTTTTATAAAACATTATTAATAATTATTTTTCCTTTTTTTATCTTACGTACTACATATATTTTACTTTTTCTTTACATATTTTTACTGTATATTACATTTTTCTTTACGAATATTTCTTCCAAGGGCAGGTCCGTGGATTGAGTAGAAAATGCACTCAAATCATGGTTGCACGATGTCAGAGCTCTTACATTTTTTTGTTGTATAGGGATACAACTTGACTTCCTTTGTATTTCAAAGCGATACAATCTTAGTACCTCTTTACTTCCAAGTGGCACGTTGCCACTACAGCTATGCCCACGAAAGGCCATTTTTACTTGAAATCATATTTGAAATCTATGATTTCAAGTGAAAATTTGGTATCAAGCTGCTTTGATACCGAACCGACCGAGGTTGGATTCGAACCCGGGACTAGGATTTGCTAGCCCACGTTCTTACCACGGGACCACGGCCGGCCCAGTCAAGAAAATCGCTAATAACTGTTCAGATAAAAAATACTGTTAATTTTGAAAATAGTATTTATATAACTAAAAAAAATATTTAATATTTACTTAAATTCATAATAAATGTAATTCTCTTGACTATAGGGTAGAGTGGGGCTTAAAGGTCCGCGGTCTACCACCGATATTTCAAAACAAGAGTAAAGAATTTTTTCAAAAACAATATTTGAAAGAACAGGGCAAAAGATCGCTATCGGGAGATGAACAGTAATGTTTGAAAATACATTGCAAAATTATTTTTGTTTGTTGTTAGTTTTATTGGTTGTGGGCACTCTTGTTTAAATTACGAGACTTTAATATAATTTTTAAACCTACACTATTTAAATGTTTAATAAGATGAATGCTATTTTTAAGATAGATGCAACAGTTCTCTCTATATATATAACCTTTATAATAGCTTTACCCTGGCAAAGGCAACATTAAAAAATAGTAAATAAAATGTAAATTCAGTAAAAAAAAGCTATTTTACGAGAGATAAGTTAAAAAAATATTTATTTTAATTTTGATAGTTTTTCTGACGAAATACTAGATCGAGAGTATTACTGCTTTATATCCGTGAAAAATGTGTTCATGAAATTTATATTTTGCCTTAGTTAAATAATGTAGCTATTATTTCTTAAAATTATTTCGAATTTATGTTTTCCATGGCCATTTTATTTTATCCTGCCTATGTGGTAAAAGGAACCAAGTGACATTTTTTTTTTGAAAAAAAAAACAGCAAAAAACAGCAAAAAACATTTCTACATTTATGAATAGCTGGGAATTTTACTGAACATAGTCAGATAGTTGTTTTTTTGATATATGTTATTTTTAGTGATACAATTGGTTTAGGTTCCCCAATATAATTCTTCAAATTCGAATTGGATCTTTGTGCCCCGATCTACCCTAGTGCGTGAATACGCACTTACGACTATGATATTTTATGTTGTTCATAATTTTGATCTCAAACGATTCAGAATGACCTACAACATCAAAGAAACATAAAATTAGCAGGTTGTATATTTTGTCGAAAACATAAACATTTTCCTTCGTTATACAGCATTGTAATATACATATGCTCTTTCTCGAAATATCTATTATAACAATAAATATTAGCGATTTTCTTGATTATCCAATTTTAAGTAAAGTACTTGATGATGACTACTCTACTCTGACTAATTAGGTACCATGCAATAATGATATTCATTTCTACTTGGACATATAAATTCAATGTTTTTCAGTAAAAAAAACTTTCGAGCGATGTTGCGCATAAAAAAGAATGTAAAACTTTATTACATTATCTATACACTGAATAAAAAAAAATACATAAAAAAACCCAAAATTAAAAAAGTTAGTACATGTCAATAACATTTAAAACATTGAATTGAATATGAGAGCTGTTTTATACATTTAGTTATATTAATAGCTATTAGCTTTTAGCTAATATGAATATAATAGCTAAAAGCTATAGCGAAAACAATGTATATGAAATAAAAATTTAAACTAACCTGCACGAGAAAGATTTTGGGTCGAACCATTCGTTGACGTCGTCTTCACATTTCAGTACGATCGGTTGCAATTTGTCATTGCACCAAGCATAAATTGATGGGTCTGGTGCATAGGTTATAAAAGAATTGGGATTTGTGCAATTCATGATGGCGCAATCAGCTTCTGACGATTTCTTTTTACACATATTTTTAGAATGATCATATACATAGTTAGGTGGGCATACGTAAACCTGGCCTTTACCTTCTTTGCAGAATAAGTATCTTGTGCAGTCTTTCGGGTCTGATTGATGCACATATAATGTTATTAGTTATTATGACATTTATGACATTATTGTAAGAAACTTATAAGCATATATACACTTATAACAAAATTATATATATATATATATATATATATATATATATATATAAATAAATATAAGGTTTAGATTTTTTTGTTCGACGTTGAGACATATCTTGAATGTTTATTTTTACCCAATCGTCAAAATAAAAGAAAACAAATAAATAATAAAATATTCATTTATACGTTTCGACACGGATTGTGTGTCATTATTCAGCAAGCCTTTTTAGAAATTTTTGTTATATAGTATCTAACTGAGATAGTGTATAACAAAAAAGATACTGTATAACAAAAAAAAAAACTATAGTGGGGCGCATGACATCGTGCCTTAAGGCAAATTGCTAGAACTTCCCGTATCAAAAATATTTTTTTTTTAAAAGATTAACATTTTTGAAAAAAATTTACTTCGAAAAAATTAGATTTTTGAGAAACTATAAACTTTTGAAAAAAAAAATTATTTTTTCGGAAAAAAAATGTTTTCTTTATTTTAAAATATTTTGGAAGTTCCGAACTTTTTTCAAAGCAATCGTACTGTTTTAACTGCATAGAGACGAAATATGGAAGCGCGTAAGCGCCACGTCGTCGTCGAACGGATAAAAATTGGTACGGAACCCATAGGAATGTAAACAAAATTTATACTTATTGTTAAAATCTCTATAAAGTATTTGATAATTTTATGTGCATATGTCTAATGATGATTTTTGACCGCCAAATGGCATTTTTTTTACATTTGTGGGGATCAAGCAGGCTAGTCGTGGTAAAGAAAACAATTGGACTTGTCATATTTTGATATCATTAATTTTTATAGTCAATAAATTTTATATATTTTTATACAAGTGGAGTTTATACATTCATATTCATTACTACTCCCACACATTTTTCACTAGATCTCCGAAACCGCTAGACCTGCCTTTACCTGTTTTTTGAATTATTAAAATCGGACACTCCATTCTCTTAAAAACTGAGTTACCGTTTGTGGCACTTTTGCCTCGTATCTTCGAAACGGCTAGATCTGCCTATGCCAAAAACTAATCATCACGTCTCCTTATCAACAGCAATCAAATGTTTTTAAACAATTGAAAGCCGTTGAACCGTGTTCCCGAAATCGTCGACGGAAATTTGAATTCGCACATACAAACACACGCACACGCACATACATCAATTTTTTCTAAGGTATGCCAAAATGATCAGAAACCTCTAAAACTTAAAGATATATAAAAATTTTCATTTTCGATTTTTTTGCGATTACTATAACTTACCCAACGGAAAGTTAAAAATAAATATTTTATTATTTATGTTTTCTTTTATTTCGACGATTGGCTGAAAATCAACATTCAAGATAAATAAATAAATAAATAAATAAATAAATATATATATAATATATATATATATATATATAATATATATATATATATATATATATATATATATATATATATATATATATATATATATATATATATATGCATTATACTTTTTTATTCTACGTTACTCTATTTTAAAATCAACGATACCCAATTTTTTTTTTCACGTTATATTTTCTAATTCATAATAAAAATGCTTTCGTAATTACTTTGTTATGTATTACACCAAAGTTTCGAAGTGTTTAAAATAAATTTTTAAAAATTTTACAAATCAACAAACACAAAATAATGCAAAAAATATGAGTAATGGTGTAATAACTAATTTTGCTTTAAAATGTAGCGCAAAATTTTACCAATTGAAATTTGTTTATGAAGGCTCATTATTATCCATAATGACAATGGATAATGCCTCTTAACATTTCTTAAACCTTCTAAACAACTATTTGTTGTATATATATTTTATTTCTATATCTGAGAGTTGATTTTTTAATGAGTTTGTTAGATATTTTAAGAGTGCCATATTTATATTTCTACATATGCTACAAACAGACACTCAGAAAAATATGTTTATTCATTTATATGAATCTTGATAGAATAGAAAGATAAAGCTATACAAAATTACCAAGAAGTGAAATAGATTATTTTTTGGTTATCTAGGTTACCTGGTTGATATCCAACAACCGCGCATGTAGTTCCTTCATTTTTGCAATTATCATCATCAGTTTTCGACGAACACTGATTATTTACGCAATATGGAAGGCTTGGATTTGACTCTGCGCAATTTATTGTGGTAACCGGGTTTTCTTTTCCAACACAAAACTGCAAAAAATGTTTTTTTCTTCACACAAAATTTATAATACTTAAATTAAGACATATACTACGAACAGATACTCATTTTTCACATATTTGAGCGTTACATCAATAAAAAATGTGCAAGTATTGCCTTCTTTCTGTGAAAAATGCAACTGAAATTGATCTAAACTAAACTTTAATCCCTAATTTAAACACTAACAGCTTATGAGGATGTACCATGTTAAATTATTTCGTATACGTTGTAAAATTAATCGCAAATAAACAAAAAGCGCAATTATAATACTTGCAAATGTGTTTAATCTAAAAAAATTGTGATTTGAATATCTATAGGACTATTCAATTTTAAATTTTTACATTTTTTGTTGCGTGTATTTATTAAAAAGCTCGGATCGTCTTATATAAAATATTTATGATAAATTATTCTCGGATAAAATAGAAATGTTGTGTAATGCTATGTTGCTGGTCTATAATACAAAAAACCTTACTTCGCGTATGTGTTATCAAAGAGATATAATAAAGTTGCAATTATGATAAAATTGCTGTTTGACATTTGTGCGTTTTTAGGTTAGGATTAGAATTTATATGTAAAACGCCTGATTGCACAGCAAATACGTAGTCATTTGACTTTTGTGATTACCAACTTATGCGGTTATAGACCCGTAACATAACATAACTATAACATTTATATTGATTCGAGAATGGGCCTAGTAATCCATAAACTTCTTCAATGATTTTTAACTTTCCGTCGGGTAAGTTCTAATAATCGCAGAAAAATTAAAATAAATTTTTGTATATATCTTTAGGTTTCAAAGGTTTTTTAACATATTGGCATACCTTAGAAAAAATATTTGTGTTAATGTTTATGCCGACGATTTCGGGAACACGGATCAATTGATTTGAATGATTTATAGTAAATATTATTTGTATTGACAAAATTAATTGCTAATAAAATTTTTGGATAGGCAAGTCCAGCAGTTTTGGAGATCCAATAAAAAAAGTGAAAATATACCATTTGGCGGTCCAAAATGATCATTAGACATACCCACATCAAATTATAAGATATTTTATATAGATTTTAATAATATGTACACATTTTGTTTATATTTTTATGGGTTTCTTCGATATTTTGACTCTAAAACAAGTACGCAGCGCAATTGCTTCGAAAAAAAGTTAAAAATTTTCAGAAAATTTCGAAATATAAAAAAAATGTGCGGGAAGTATCAGCAATTTGCCTCAAGACATGATGCCATGCATCACTAGTTAAATTTGGAATTGAGAACTGTTTCATACATTTTTTATCAAATTCAATATTTTACCTTCAAGGTCGAACAACCGTCACAAAATGATCCATACTGATTATTAGTACACGTTAATTGAGGGCCAAATGGTGCACGTGATCTTGATCTTCCCACCGGGAAACCGCGCATATATGTTGGCGATTTTCTCTCAGCACCCACTGCACCCAAGACTAACTGTATGAATTTTATTTCAACATTAATTCTGTATTAATTTTGCAATATATTTGTTGAAATATTTAAAAATGATGTCAGCTGTTAACCTAAACTGGTTTTTAACTAATTGAAAATATTTACCACTGCAAATATTAAAGTTCCTAAGAACTTCATTGTTAATTCTTATTTCCAAGTAGAACTATATGCAGCTCATATTGCAGTGATAATCATATATGCCTTTATATATTGTTTCTAAGTTGCATATGTCAGAGAGTGACAGAGTAGGTTAACAATTTCTTTTATAATATTAGAAAAAAAAAGCTCCTAAAGCTTAACATATGAAGAAAACTATCTTATCATATTGATTTTAACCAATGTGAAAAATTAAAATACTGTGATCTCATTAATAACTTGATGTGAATTGATATGTCATAAAATAAATTTTAATTATATTTAATTTAAAATTCCAATTGTTATTATCACTATTTCTTATCATTGGTACAGCTTATATTTTAGCTTATTTTATTTTAAAATTAATTGATAATATTGAAATTTATCATTTTTCATTGCGTATACATTTAGAAGTTGCAGTTATTAGTTAATTAATATGTTCTATATTTGTTTGTACACTTAATATAAAAAATATTCTCTGATTTGGAATGTAAGGTATCCGGAAATATGAATATTTTCATTAGATTATTTCATAAATCTAAATTTTGGTATATGTTTTACACCTGAGAAATCGTGTTGTTAATTGCACTATTTATCTCATATCTAATCATAAACTTCTATAAAACAATTTTTATATAAATAGTTCCATAATTTATTACTTATAATATGTGTACATATGTTTATTGATATAGTTATATGTATATTTAAGCAAGCTTAGCAAATACTAAAATTAGAGAAATCTGAGACTTATATAATATTTTGAATACTTCATATTGTTAGTAATATATTTATATATATATATATATATATATATATATATATATATATATATATATATATATATATATGCCAAAGAGCTATGCTCGCCCTATATATATATATATATATATATATATATATAGGGCGAGCATAGCTCTTTGGTAGCGTGTTCGATTCGCATGACAGGGATCTTCGGATCAAATCCTGTCAATGACTTATAATTTATGAAAAAAAAATTGCGTACTTAATTTGAAATCAAATAAAAATTGTATTTGGTAAATAGAATTTGAATAAAAATCAAGAAAATAGGTCTAACAGAATTAGAATAGTTGAATTGTGAATTAGGAGTAAGAAGAGAAATATTTGAACTTAAAAGAAGAATGAAGAAAAAAATGGAATTAAGCTGAAAGTTAAATAGAATTCGAAATTTAAAAAAAGAGCGAGACTCGAAAAAAAAAAGAATAAGAAAAATTAAGAATATAGAACAGGATACATAAATAGATTGTTAATGATATAAAAAATTAGAATGTAAATAAATAAAAATGTTGTAAGTGGCTAAATGCTCAGAGTAAGCGAGGCCAAATAAAAAAAATTAAATATCAAAAAAAATATATATAAGAGTAGCATTATTTATCGCCCCACATCGTTTCTGGCTGCTTGGAGGGCAATAATAACATTTTTATTATAAAAGCTACAAATTGACTATATGTTAAGCAATTTATTTTTATAGTAATGTTACTAATAAGTGCTTGAATAAATATCATAAAATAATAAATTTGTCAGAATTTCTAAAGTTGCCTCAAACCATCAGAATTTTGAATTATGCCGGGCCGTTTAAAAAGTATCGTTTTACACTAAAGATATGAAAATTAAAATCTAGTATTTTAAATTTATATAAAAATATTTAGGGTAAAGATTTTTTGGTAACTTATATTTTTAATTTTTTTAATGTGGCTTCATAAGATACAGAAAAAGCATGATATTTTAACAATCTCTCAGAAAAGAAGATTATGGGGCCGATTCTGTCAAAAAATATGTTAGATTAATGTTATGGGCAGGCTATGTTACAAATCGCTTCTCATACAAAATGGCATTAAAATACTGTCATAATGCTATAATTTTGCTGTGCGATCAGGCGTTTTACGCATAAAATGCAACTTCACTCATATGTTATTATGCCACATCACAAAGATCGTTTTATGATGTGTTTATGATGCGTTTGACGTTTGTGTGTTTTCTAGATTAGGCTTTTTTTATCTAACACGCCTGACTGCAGAGCAACCACATGGCATTTGAAAAGTAATTAGTACCATTTTGTAAGAGGAGCGCTACGTAACATAGCCTTGCCATAACATTCGTCTATTTTCGACAGAATCGGTCTCTATATGCCAATATGATCTCGTAAAGTGTTAATCTACTCAGACGAACAACATAAGACTATTTAAATATTGACTGTCACGTTTTAATTTTAATGTTGATACACTTCTTAGTGCTTATTCAATAAAACAAAATCTTAACTAAAATTAATAAAGTTTTAACTAATAGAAAGGTGAAATATGAACAAATTTATGAAAAAAACAAATAAACTGATTCCATAATAATAGTTGATCTGTATTTAACCGGAATAGAGCATCAAGTTCTCGAGTGTATTTTTCAAGTTTTATTGGGACACACCGTATTTTCAGATATAATTTTGCAGCATTTCCAGAATATAATCAAATGTCTTTGCAATCATTCTAGTATTACCGTATTAGTATTAGTATCTAGTATTTTATATTAGGTCTCTAACCCATACTACAACTTCGTGTAAATGTAATATAGTATTTAGAAAGGAGGGGGACTGGGTAGGGAGTAAGCATAAAGGTTCAATTTAATTTACATGTATTTCACCCTCTACTTTAAAATGACATTGTTACAAAATTTCATAGTGATAGTGATATAATAATTATTCTACATCTTCATGCTATACATTTAGAAGTCCGTCTTATTTCTTACTTTTAATTATATTTTCTTTATTTTTATATTAATTTTATCTATATCTATCTATCTATTAGTACTATGTACATATGTACAATATATTCAACCAATAAAATTAATCGTAAAATAAATAATTTTGATTAGAACAATTATATTGATGGTTTTGAAAAAACCTAAATTGTGAAGTTTTTAAATGCCTTCTCATATTTATGAGACTGTGTTCAAACATAATAATTTTTTACATAAAGCATGAAATGAAACAAAGCACATATTTTGTGTAGTTCCTTTGTTAAATATTTCATCTATATATTAATATAATTTAGGTTTCCTCTCGCAAGTTCCTGTGTTGCAGCTTTGAGTAGCTTGGTTAAATACTGTTCCAATCGGACATTGATCAGGAACTGGCTCGCCTTTAGGACGTAAACACGTGAAGAACTTTCGGCATGTAGCGTCGTTCTTGAAAGCAAATTTTCCACGTGCTCGGCATTGCCCGACACAAGTTTCGCTCCTTGGGGAAAACTCAGCGGGTTCTTCGCATTGCAATACGGTTCCTCTTCCGGCCATACATACGACGTATAATGATTTATCACCAATGTACGGAAGCACCTAGTAATTATTAATTACAATCGACTTAACTAATTTGTCATTCTGAATATATGTCTAAATTTTTTTACTGAAACTAGTGGGGCATCGTGTTTTAAAACAAATTGCTGGAACTTTCCGTACCAAAATTTTTCTTTTTTCAAAAGATTAACATTTTTAAAAAAAATTTACTCTGAAAAATTAGATTTTTGAGAAACTATAAATTTTAGACAAAAATTTACTTTTTTTTAAAAAAAAAAAGAATTTTTGAAAGAAAATTTATTTTGAAATATTTTGGAAATTCAGAACATTTTTTCAAAGCAATCGTACTGCTTTAACTGCATAGAGACGGAATATCGAAGCGCGTAAGCGCCGCGTCGCCGTCTAACGGGTAAACATTGGTATGAAACTCATAGGAATGTAAACATAATTTATACTTTTAAAAAAAGTAATTTTTTGTCCAATTTATAGTTTCTCAAAAATTTTATTTTTTCGAAGTAAAATTTTTTCAAAAATGTTAATCGTTTTTAAAAAAATAATCATTTTTGGTACGGGAAGTTCTAGCAATTTGCCTTAAGGCATGATGCCTTAATTGCCTTAAGACAGAATTCTACTTACAGCTAGTTATTTTCGATTTTTTTACGATTACTATAACTTTCCCTTCGGGAAGTTAATAATTTTAACTTCTGGGAGAAGTTGATGTTTTTACCCAAATATCCAATTTGCTAATTTTATGTTTTATCGACATTTTGAGTCATTTTGAATCGAATGAAACCAAATTTGTCTGTTCTATTTCTTCCCAATTTTAATGTGAAACCTAAATACTCATACATTAAATTCATAAAAGTTTCTTTTGAACGCGTTAGAATATTATTTGCATATGTTTAACGTTAATTTTTTAGATATTTGATATCATATTCTAGATATTTCTAAAATTTTATTAACAATTTGAAATAAATTAATTAATAATTCATTTACCTTAGGCTGTGCAGGACATGTAACTGTATAGCATTTTGTGCCCAGAGCCATAGGTCCGCAATTATGGCGCAATGGATCATACGCGAAATTTGCGGGACAATAATATTGGGTTCCTATACTGTTTTCGTCACAATAATAATAACTTTGACAATCATTTATATCTAAAAAAAGAAAATCAACAGTAAATTATTTTAGAAATAAAATATTAATTATTCTATTGAATAATGTATGAATAAATAAATATAAAATAATAATAGAACCGTACTTGGATAAAATCTCGATGGTGACGGACATTTGAAACCTTGTACTTTGCAGACTGTACTTTCTTTATTGGTGCACTGTAGATATCCACTTTGATCAGCGCACACTTGATCTGGGCTACAGGATTCCTTAACCGGATCTGCTCCTATTTCCGTACAATACTGTAACAAAGAAGTATATATCAAATAAATAAATAATCATGCTATGATTATCATAATCACGACGAAAGATTAACAGATTAAATTAGTGATCAAGTTCATAATTATATATAACTTCATTTGAAAGTTTACGAATAATTAAAATATCAAATTCGTAAGATTCAATTATATTGATTTATTTATTGAAATAATATTAATTACGGTATACTTTTCACTATAAAATTAATTGATGGACCCTTCTTATCACTTCTTTATTAAATACATAGATATAAATAATATTATCATACAATCAATTATATAAAACTATATCACACCACTAACAATTGAAAAAAATAAGTTTATCTTCATATTTGTTCTTCATAGGAAGTTCATGTAATTTGCCCCAAGGCAAAATACCAATACCAACTAGTTTTTTTTAACTTTTTGCAGTAATTTTCTGATAAACTATTTTAACTTGAAATTGTATTTAGATATATATGTTCAAGTGAAGACTGGAATCTCTGGCTATTTATAAGAGAAACTCTCCCAAAATAATGTGTTCCTAAAAATTATAAATTGTATGCATATATACCTGCATTTCGGGTGAACTGCACGAATTCACGCAACTAAATTTTACTTTTTCACATTTTTGCTCGGGTTTCGGTACAGGTGTAGGTTCAGGAGTAGGTACTACTCCTGGTGCGGGCTCATCCAATGATGCAAATACTTCTTTATTTACTGTTAAAGGCGTTCCGTCGACATTAAACTCACCATCATAAGCGGTAACGACAGATAACGCCTGAAATTAAAAAAATAACAAATTTACATAATTCTTTAAGAAAATAAACTTTCACATTGAACCATACCACAAAACTAATAAAAACCAATGTGTTATAAAACATTCTAATAAATATGTTACCCAGCTTTATATGTGGACTAATTATGATTAATATATTCAAATGGGTTTATATACATTTTAAAAATAAAAAAACGTTCTTATCGTTGCATTCTGCAAATAACAGGATTATTCGTTATTATACTTGGCCGTTTGCATATTGCAAATATTGAATAATGGAAGGTTATGATCTAAGCTTGTCAAACTTATTTATGTACAATAAGTTTTATTATGTCTTAGTTTCAGACACATTTTTTTGCAACCTCATTTCAATTTCTAGAAGATATATAATAGACATAAAACTATCATGAAAAGCAAAAGTATTAAATTATTGCTGAAATTATGTAGAATATTGAAAAAATATTTTTTATAATTTTAGCAGTATTAACAATGTTATTGATGCATCTTGGATCATTGGTAATAACCCGTATAAAATAATAAATTTCTCTGCGGAAACAAAATATTAAAAAGAAAAATGAATTTGTGTGAATCTATTAATAATAACCCATGTAGAAATTAATATGGTCTGAATCTACAAGCAATATAAAATCTACATTGGTCAAATTTGAAACCAATATCGGCTGGTCATAAAAATTGAACATTTTTTATATTGAGGCCATATAGGTAAACCAACATTGGTCTATATTGGTCTATATTTGGAAATTTGGAACCAATGTTGCCTACAAATTGTTGAATGTTGGTAAGGTAATATACAATTAGACAGAGAGCTGGTAAACATTTAGAATTATTAATTATTGAATTATTCTGAAACTTATAACTGATGTTGAAATATTACACAAATATTTGAAGATTTGAAGTTGAAATAATATAACGCATAAATCAATGTCATTTATTTAACAATAAAACACCTGAAATTTATTTATTTATTTATTTATTTATTTATTTCTGAAATGAACATATACGTAAATTTATTAAGAATGTTTTTGTGGAAATTCATTTATTAAATATAAACAATGATACAAATATATAACTGCATTAAAATATGATTATTTATAAAACACAAAAGTGTCATAAATATTGATTATTTTTTTAATAGATATTATTAATACATATCAAGTAAACTTTTTTTATAACAATAACAAAAGCAAATAAACTTTCCTATTTATAACATCATCACTCGATAAAACATTTCACAGCATCTGAACATATTTTATTTGTTGTTAATATATTTATTATCCATTATGAAATATTTATTTCATGGTCTAGAACAGTCATTGGAAAACCTACCTTACATTTGATATATATCAAATAAATTATAATCGAATAATCATTCGATTATAATTTACGTGATATATATCAAATGTAAGGTAGGTAAAGTAATAAAAGTAATAAAAGCAAATTAACTTAACTATTTATAACATCATCACTCGATAAAACATTTCACAGCATCTGAACATATTTTATTTGTTGTTAATATATTTATTATCCATTATGAAATATTTATTTCATCGTCTAGAACAGTCATTGGAAAACCTACCTTACATTTGATATATATCAAATAAATTATAATCGAATAATTATTCGATTATAATTTACGTGATATATATCAAATGTAAGGTAGGTAAAGTAATAAAAGTAATAAAAGCAAATTAACTTAACTATTTATAACATCATCACTCGATAAAACATTTCACAGCATCTGAACATATTTTATTTGTTGTTAATATATTTATTATCCATCATGAAATATTTATTTCATCGTCTAGAACAGTCATTGGAAAACCTACCTTACATTTGATATATATCAAATAAATTATAATCGAATAATTATTCGATTATAATTTATGTGATATATATCAAATGTAAGGTAGTTAAAGTAATAAAAGTAATAAAAGCAAATTAACTTAACTATTTATAACATCATCACTCGATAAAACATTTCACAGCATCTGAACATATTTTATTTGTTGTTAATATATTTATTATCCATTATGAAATATTTATTTCATCGTCTAGAACAGTGACTGGGAAACTTTTTCAATCATAACCCCAAAATATTTTTGTCCAAGTTTGTATTGTCATCTGAAACCTCGTATTCCATGTTAATAAATTTATAATATATCATTATATATTATCAATATGAATAATTATGAAAGCGTTAAAATGAGATTGTAAAATGCACTCGACTCTACTTTTACCTTAAAAAATAATGACTTCATATCATAGTCTAGAATCTTGCTATGCAAATGTACAGATTTATTGACATTCCACACTGCATTTATTATAATCAAACATTATGACTATTCTGTCAAAATTTATATCTTTCCTTTCTATAACTTATTTAGTTACAAACTTTTGATGAAAAACTTTTCGATAACATTTTACTACTAAGCAAACCAGTTTCTCTATTTTCTGCGCTTACAACAATATTACCTGAAAATAAATAAGAATATATTTTAAATGCAGAGACATATAATTATATTATAACAAGTATTGTCTTACCTTTTATAAATATGAAAGTGCAGTATGTCTTCACTCAAAAAGATTAGGTTATGTTATATTTTATTATGTTATATTTTATTATGTTATATTTTATTATATTTCACGTAATATGTACAACCGATTTCTCAATGTGTTTAAACTCCTGATCAATATAAAAATCCTTAGTGAGAAAAATAAAATTATCTTGCATTTCTTACCATTTTTATTGAAAACTTGCAAATTTTGACATTTCGAATAGCTAGTTTCCGATTATTTATTAGAGATACTAATAATAATGTAGTTAGCAGTAATTATTCTAAAAATAAATAGCTATTAGTTACAATGCATAAACGCATAATTAAGTATTATACTCACCAATAGTAAAAAGTATTCGTCTATTAAAACTAAGGTTATGTTTGATATACATAACTTATTACTTAATCTATCCATCCCAAATCAAATCAGATGACGTAAAATTAAGTTGAACTTTCAAACCTTTGTATTTTAATCCAAAGTAACAACAAAGAAATGAAATATTGTATATTTTTCAGAGACAATGCTTACTAAACAATTGTTAACAAAACTTGTTTGTGGTATATATTTCGCACCAATGCACATTACACACATTAGAAAACAATGTACACTATAACACTATTACACATTACACATAACTGAAAATATTATTCGATTATTTCCAGCAACACTAGTATCTTAAAATATACTATAATTAACAATTTTGCATTAAAGGCTAAGGACGCCGTGACGCGCAGCGCTTCTTGTGGCATGCGTCATGCATAGAAGTTCATAGAAATATCTAGAACCTTATACCTGCAATTCAAGATAGTGAGTTACTACAACAAGATTGTATATTTTGGTGGTGCAATGGCTAGCATTGCAGCGTTTAGATTTTGATTTTGGGGTTCAAATCCCAGTCCCTTTATTATTATTTTGTTATTTTATAATTGCATGAGTAAATAAAATTAAAGTTTTCAATTAGTTTTATATATATCGGACAGTATTTAAAATAAATTACCCTGTAACATTTATAACTTTTTTATAATGAAAGGAAAACTCAATTTTTATACTATTCTCAACATTTGAGATTTTCATAAAGAAACCGTATAAAGTATTATACATCGTCAGAATCGTCTCAAAATTCTTAGTTTTTCTTCCGCATATCACAACTTGGTATTTTAAACGGTTTGGCCTATAGGCGAGTTGCAGTGCCAAAATTTTAAAAAAATTGGAAAATTTCAAGAAAATTATATGAATGCACATGTCGAATTATATATCATTTTATTCGTAATTTTATTCTGCATTTTTCGTCTGAATAAACCTTTTAAGTATCCTTTACCGTTTAGATTGTAGCATAGGATATATGTGAATATATAGATCTTTGATCTCATTCCACTTCGACAAAATATTTAATTAGCAAATCAGATTTTTTCACAAAACAAACTTCTTTTTCGAGAAGTTAATTAAATAATAATACTTACAATATTGATGATAAAAAATATTACATCATATTTATTTTTCTAGAGAAGGACAATATTTATTAGCCGATGATAAAAAAATATTGCATCAATATTTATATTTTAGTTTGAGAACAATATTTATCAGCCGATGATAAGAAATATTGCATTAATATTTATATTTTAGTTTGAGGACAATATTTATCAGCAGATGATAAAAAATATTGCATCAATATTTATATTTTAGTTTGAGGACAATATTTATCAGCCCATGATGAAAAAATATTGCATCAATATTTCTATTTTAGTTTGAGGACAATATTTATCAGCCTATGATAAAAAAATATTGCATCAATATTTCTATTTTAGTTTGAGGACAATATTTATCAGTCGATGATAAAAAAATATTGCATCAATATTTATTCTTCTATTTGAGGACAATATTTATTAGCCGATGATAAAAAATATTGCATCAATATTTCTATTTTAGTTTGAGACCAATATTGGACAAGGCCATTTATAGAGCTTATTGCCTCAATATCGGCTGACGTTGGCCTGATCGATTAGTTGACATCATCACAGAACCGACGTTCGCCTATATTTGTGCAATATAGGCAATCACGGCCACAGAAAACCAATATTGGTAATATATTGTACCGATATTAATTTCTACATGGGAAGTTTATATTTTGTATAAACTATTTGCAAATCATAAACTATTTGAAATTATATGCATCGAAATGATTTTAATCGAAATTACTTTAATCAGTTAAGCAGGTTTTTCTTGATTGGCAATTAAATTTTTTCGGTCACTATTCTAAAATATTTTAAAACTATTAGGTGGTTCAAAATTATTGTCTCCTATTAGTGTCAGATGAAATTTTGACTTTGTAATCAGCAGACAGAGCCTATTTCTAGACAATTTTAGAAATTCACAAACAATTTGATATATTTAAACCTTTATAAAGAGTCAACCTCTCATTTTGAGACTCTCGACCACTAAATCACTAAAAGACCTATCTAATTATTTTCGATATCGGTCAGGTTATGCAAGTTTCAAATAAACACCTAGTTCATTTATTATTACCATCTATTTGATAATAACTATGCGTTC